ATTGTCTTTTTCTTTACCCAAGTTCATATGCATTTTCTCTCTAACACTTTTCCTTCCTCTTCCCTCCCACCCTTAATAACCTTCAAAGAATGTCTGTTTCTGTATGTAAACTTTTCTTGACTTTTACAATAATGGCCTTAAATGATATTTGTCCTTCATGATTTACTAATTTCACTCAGCGAAATGTGATCTGGGCTCAGACATGTTAAGAAGTGGTTCATGAATGTGCCATTATTCTTTATCTTTGCAGTATTCCATTGTGAGTTTGCACCATAGTTTGCTTATCCATTCATTTGTTGAAGGGCAAGTAAGTTGCTATCATATTCTTGGTATTGTGAACAATGCTGCAATGAATATAGGTGCACAAAAATATGTTTCTGTCCAAAACCATGTCATTGTGAATGAGGGAGAGTGCAGAGTGGAGACCCAAAGCCCATCTGTAGGCAATTGGACATCCCCTTACAGAAGGGTTGCGAGGAGGAGACGAGCCAGTGTGGGTGCAGTATAGTACCGATGAAACATAAAAATTTCCTTGAGTTCCTTAATGCTTCCTCCCCCTACTCCCCACTAACATGACCCCAATTCTACCTTACAAACCGGCTAGACCAGAGTATGTACACTGGTACAGATCAGAAAAACTGGGAATCCAGGACAGATAAACCCCTCAGGACCAAGAATGAAAGTAGAGATAACAGGAGGGTAAGGGGAAGGTAGGGGAGAAAGGGGGAACCGATCACAATGATCTACGTATAACCCTTTCCCTGGGGGACAGACTACAGAAAAGTGGGTGAAGGGAGACATCGGACAGTGTAAGACATGAAAAAAAAATTATAAATTACCAAGGGTTCGTGAAGGAGGGAGGGTGGGGGAGGGAGGGGAAAAATGAGGAGCTGATACCAAGGGCTCAAGTAGAAAGAAAATGTTTTGAAAATAATGATGGCAACAAATGCACAAATATGCTCGACACAATGGACGTATGTATGGATTGTGATAAGAGTTGTATGAGGCCCCAATAAAATTATTTTCTTAAAAAAAGCTGTTTGTATCATGGCTACTTAATTCTCTTAATAGAGATATACCTAGTAGTGGGATTTCTAGCTCATGTAGCATTTTTACTTCCAATTTGTTAAAAGACCTTCTATTTGTCTTTCTTTCTTTCTTTCTTTCTTTCTTTATTTATTTTTAATCATTTTATTAGGGGCTCATACAACTCTTATCACAATCCATACATACATCAATTGTGTAAAGCGCATTTG